GGTAAAAATAAAAGGTTGCATTTTGCAGAATTCTTCAGTGGCTGCAACTCTCACGCTAGGTGCCAGCAATAATTACATATGTGCAAAAAGCGATAAGCAAGTAACTGAAAAGCTTGTCTCCTCAAGAGATCGCTATGATTTTGCATATTCATCAATTTCCATGGGCAATAAGACATTTTCTCTTCAGTGGCGTTCAGCTTTCGCTTATGTAGACACTATAAGGCCATACATTGGTGTGCCAGACTTATTCATGCAAGAATTAATTCTCAAATACGATGCAAAAGTAATGCAATCTGTTGCCAATTTTTAAGTCTTTCACAAAGTGAAGTCACATCGGTAAAAATAAGTCATACTTAAAAGAAAATTTGAATAATATGACGTCAAAGCTGACCTGAAGTAACTTAATGAAAGCTTGGGCTTTATAGAAAAAGCGGAATACAGGAGCAGATGTATACTGGGTGGATTGCAATCAAGCCTTTGAGCCTTTTTATTTGAGAACAGCCAATAACACATATGTCGTTGAACCAAGCAATTTTGTTATCAAACACGACGTTAGTTAACAATTTTCACTTATCGAAATTAAAAATGGTTTTAACTTTATATTTTGCGGAATTTATTTATTCCAAATTCGATCCATCATTTCAGATTATATAATGAATTTGATCAATAATTTTCAGAAGGCAGATGCAAATTGCGAATTGGGTTTCAGAAGTCATTCGGGACCCCTTGGACCAGTAGCACTTGGAATTCCATTTCTTAATCAGTATTGTGCTATCTTGGAACCCACTAAGCGGAGCATTAGTTTTCGTCCTATCGTGGTTCCCAATACTACAGTTTATTGTTTTACTTCTGAAAACTATAGTCTGGAGTAGACAGCTGATGAATGTTTTCTAATTGGATAATCCAATAAATAATTAGCAGTTACAAAAGTTTTCATGCTTTCTAGATTATACATGAAATAACATCAACATCTCAAAGACTCTTCTATCTGTTTCGGCGGCATCTAAAGGGGACTTGCTAGATGGCACTTCTGAATTAGTTAAAAAGTAGATCAATCTTATAAAATCATCCTACACTTTACAATCGTAAAGCCAATGGATTAACGAGCAAAAATACAGTATTGTGCTCATTTGAAAATGAAAAATAAAATAGCAATTTAAAAGCAAACGATGACAAGCAAAGCTGTACTCAGTGCAAT